GTAACCATTTAAAACACGTACTCGTTAAACTGGCCTTACCTATCTATCTCTGTAACCATTTAAAACACGTACTCGTTAAACTGGCCTTACCTATCTATCTCTGTAACCATTTAAAACACGTACTCGTTAAACTGGCCTTACCTATCTATCTCTGTAACCATTTAAAACACGTACTCGCTAAACTGGCCTTATCTAGATGAAATACTTTTGGTTGTAATTTCCAATCCTTCTGTTGATTGAAGTAATTCATTTTTCGAATGGAGAGTGTTGTGTCACTATTCTGTGAACATCGTTAACAGATCTATTGATTCAACATTAAGGTTAAAAATCTATTAGTTAACCCCAGTTGAGATAATGTATAAAGAAATCATTTCCATAATGACGTCATTCTCCATTTATCCAAACATTTTGGCGGTAAGTTCAAAAACAATTTTAAAATTTATCACAGATAAGCTTTGTGATATTATTCCAAGATCTAAAATTATTTCGATCAGTTAAAAAGCGGTTATAAAAAATTAATAAATCACGTGATAAAAAAGGAGTTTTTTTTATCAAATTGCTCCTTCTTAGGGGTGTAATTTTAACACGTGGTTTTGAATATTCTAATATCACACAGTTGTGTATATTAACCCTAATGAAGCCGCATAGGCGAAACGTCTTTTAAAATATAAAAACTATTTTATATATATATCTGGAGTATAAAGGTCGTTTCTTCTAAGATAAGCTCGGTTTCGTTTCCCATATTATTCCACTCGAGATCTCTGTTAAACCTTTAATCTCTGTTAAACCTTTATCCTTTTTTATCTATAATGGAGAATTGAATATCTTTATTAAATCTTTATCTTATTTATCCATACCGGAGAATATGTGGTGCTTTTAATAGTTTTAGATTTCTGTTTACTGTCTACCTAACGCCAGAAACGAACCAGATACTTACTGCTTTATCTAACAAGTAACACGAAAACATTTGCAGACAAGACAAAAAAACTAAAGCTACAAGTTTTAAAAAGAGTGCTATTTCCTGGTTAGCTTTGTACTCGTTGTACGCTTGGGTATATACAGTCATAACATAACGTTATGTGGAAGAAACTTTATACCAAGAAACTGACTAAATCTGTAGGGTTAACAATCTGATCGCACGCCGAGTAAATTTAAGCCTAGGTCTGTAGAAGACCAACATGTAGAAATCTCACGATGCTTTTATTGTAATGCATTGAATCAAACATTCGGCTTTTTTTATCAGGTGGTGTAGCAAAGCAATCGAAAACCTCCTATTGAGAGAAACATCCACCAGGGATATTTCTCATATAATGTAATGAATCAAATTTTCGGCGTTTTCTCAAATGGTAAAGCAATCCAAATCCTTTTATCAGATATCAGCACACAAGGGAGAAGTCTGAGTAAAGAAGAAGCTGTGTGGACCATACTACTTAATTTTCTTTTCTTCTCATGCTGAGTTGTGTCTTCTGTGATGAGCTTTTAACCTAGCACAGTATATTTATACTTAAAGGAATCAAATAACAGAATAAAGTAATAACATTTCTGTTTCCTGGAGGTGTTTGTTTTCTTTCTTCAGATTCTTCAAATCCAGACTTTTGTAGCTACCATTATATCTTGTCACTTCACCTTAGGTTTCGAAAACAATGTGATGATCTTGTGTTTTAATGCCTTTCTAGTTTGTTTTTTTTTAACCTATAATAAACTGAATAACACGTGGTTTAAAGTTAGATAGTTCTGGAGCAAGAACACGCTAAAAATAAATGATAGAAGTTTTAAAATATTCTTTATTTGTCTGTCTATCTCTTCTGTTCCTCTTAAGCTATTAAACATCAAGTAGCAATCTTCGTACGTATACGCTTGCCAAAAAACAGGGGAAGAAATGACTCAGTGACGCCACCTGATCGATTTAGAGATTTTTGTTATTACTGAAAATCTGAGTGAATTGTCAAGAGGTTTTAATTTATTTTATCTAACAACTACACACCCCAAATTTAGTTTTGTGAACGATAACTTGGAGGAAATGTGACAATTTAATACGACCTCATAAGATTATGCCTTTCCTAGAAGTATATATATATATGTAACAGACAATTGCTTAAAGAAAACAATGGTTGAAATAGGTTTAAAGTATAAGTTAAACATGCCGAGTTGCTTTCTACGGACCTTGGCTCTGAAATAACGTTTCAGGCTTCATGCTGACCTAAAAAAAAAAAAAACTCAGTAAAGAGACCAAGACGTCGTATGAGAACCTAGAGGAAAAGTCAGGGGATGGAAACTGTCATGACAACGGGAAATGTACATTCACGTCTAAATGTGCGTTAGGATTTGTAAGTAATGCTGTTTTTATATTAATGTGTATAATGTTTCCTCTCTTTCTCTAGGCTCGAACCTAGGATCACGTTATGTTCGCACTATAATAACATTCTTCCTTTCATGATCTGGCATAGCCAGGAGGTTAGGGCACTCGACTCACAATCTTCGGGCTCGAATCCCGTCATCACCGAACATACTTACCCTTTCAGACGTGGGGGCGATATAATGTGATGGTCAATCCTATTATTATTTGATAAATAGTAATCCAAGAGTTGACGGTGGGTGTTGTTGACTAGTTGCCTTCCCTCTAGTCTAATAGTCAGTACAATAATTAAATATGGTAACTGTTTCGATGCGGCTTAACGAATGTAAATAACTCAAAAATCCAAGACGTGTGGGACAATGCTTTTAAAATAATACAAAATTTCGCTTGAACAAAAATATCAACATATTCTAAGAGCGAAAAAAAAAAGAGAAAAATTTTTTTTCATCTTCAGATTTTGAAGAAATTCGCAGATAAACAAGTACGATGGGGAAGCTTCCTATAGGCGTCGGAGGGACCCATAACAAAGGCAGCTATACCATTTTAAACGATATATCAAATTACAGCTGGCAGTTCCGATATAAGAAAGTGAAAGATCTCTTTCCTTTGTATGTACTGTGAGTCACACTAGTCCACGTACTCGAGTTAGCCATCTAGTGCTCATCTAATGATGACAAATAAGGTTGTCGTCACTCGTACGAGCGATTTATACCTTTCATCATATATGAAGTGCTTCCTCTTCTTCTTCACATCATATGAGTGATTTTACAAGTATTGGAACACAGATATAAAAATACTCCTTACATTGATACAGTGTAAAAAGGCTAAAGGTCAAGCTCACTGCGTGCGTGTTCGAGTTTTTTTTTTTCTGACTTCATATCATATTTAAACAGTCATATGGGCGTGGCCGGTATGGCAGGGATGTAATAGATTATTGTGTTAAGAAATAAGTCTTACATGCACACCAGTTCGTTTTATTACCTTGTGTTAAGAAATAAGTCTTGCATGCGTCAGTTCGTTTTATTACCTTGTGTTAAGAAATAAGTCTTACATGCACCAGTTCGTTACATGCCTGATTATACGTTGCATCTAATCTATTTATCCACGTGTTGTACAAGTGATTATACGTTGCATCTAATCTATTTATCCACGTGTTGTACTTGTGATTATACGTTGCATCTAATCTATTTATCCACGTGTTGTACTACTGATTATACGTTGCATCTAATCTATTTATCCACGTGTTGTACTAGTGATTATACGTTGCATCTAATCTATTTATCCACGTGTTGTACTAGTGATTATACGTTGCATCTAATCTATTTATCCACGTGTTGTACTTGTGATTATACGTTGCATCTAATCTATTTATCCACGTGTTGTACTACTGATTATACGTTGCATCTAATCTATTTATCCACATGGTGTACTAGTGATTATACTTTGCATCTAATCTATTTATCCACATGGTGTACTAGTGATTATACGTTGCATGTAATCTATTTATCCACATGTTGTACTAGTGATTATACGTTGCATCTAATCTATTTATCCACATGTTGTACTGGTGATTATACGTTGCATCTAATCTATTTATCCACATGTTGTACTGGTGATTATACGTTGCATCTAATCTATTTATCCACATGTTGTACTGGTGATTATACGTTGCATCTAATCTATTTATCCACTTGTTGTACTACTGATTATACGTTGCATCTAATCTATTTATCCACATGGTGTGCTAGTGATTATACGTTGCATCTAATCTATTTATCCACATGTTGTACTAGTGATTATACGTTGCATCTAATCTATTTATCCACTGTCTAGATACAAGAAACTTTATTTCTAATTTCTATAACTTTAAACTATTTCGTTACCTGATCATTTTAATACTAAAACTGATGTTATCTACCATCAGAAGGCTCTTGGGAGGTAAAGTTTTGACTTGGCGCAAAGTTTTGTTAATAACTTTTGCATGCAAGTAATTAAAGCTGATATATTTGTAAACTGGACGAATCATATAATAACGAAGAAAAATGGGTAACTCTCATTATTTAATGTAAATTAGTTTCAATTGTGTAATTAGGAAAGTAATCATACGATTTAAAGAAGTGAGACTCCGATGCCTCGGCGGTGAACTTGAGGGCTTATAAGGCTAAAATTTGAGGTTAGAGCCCTGTGATGTACTGAGCGCAGATAACCTATTGAGATGCTCCGTGCTTAACAAAAACAAATTTAAAAAAAAATGTAAATAGTGACCATAACAAAGTTAAAGGAATCACATTACAGTAGATAGTATCGGTTATTATAAATATTATAATGTTTTTTTAGTAGCTGATAATATCATAGTGGTGTGGTCGTTTCATTTATTAAACATAAAAACATAATACTTAACACGTAAGCTTTCCAGAACATTGCATCTTACTAAAATACGGACACAACAATATACAGAGTGATGAGTAAGAAACAGCTATAGGATAAACTCAACATCACGTATATGTTTTCGTGTTGATTGGGGATCATGTTTAACCTTTCCACCAGTAATAACAGTGTATTTCGTAACATGCTCAACAAGTTGAGAAATGTTCAATTTACATTTTATTGTACTACTGATGAAAAAATATTTTACTTTGAAATTTAAGGTCGAATTTATATGAACTTATACATCTGTTTAGTAGCTGACGGTGGGAGGAGTGGATCACCGAGGTTCGCTGAGCCTATTCGTAACGTGACGAGAGCCGAAGGTCGTTCCCTGACGTTGGCTTGCGTGGTGGAAAATTTGGAGCCATTCAAGGTTTGGGAGATCTAATCAACTAAGTACAGAAACACACGAATTAAGCTTAACAAGTATGAAACTATCATAAGCTCAAATGTTTCATGTTCTCCTTTACGTTAGAAAATGGACAGATTAATTTTTAGAATGTTTGCTTTCTCTAACGAGAAAGTTTAATATTTACTTTAGAAATTCACCAAATGCTATCAAAAACTACTATCAAACGGCGTAGAAGTTGGTACTGTACATCCAAGTAAGTTAGATAAGGCTAACAATCTAAAGTACAGCAAGGTTTATCCCAACTTATCATCAAAAAACTACTATCAAACGGCGTAGAAGTTGGTACTGTACATCCAAGTAAATTAGATAAGGCTAACAATCTAAAGTACAGCAAGGTTTATCCCAATTTATCGTAGTTTTCTAGGGTAGGGTTCTTAACTCAGTGATCGGCGATATTTAGGTAACAAATTAACCTGGTAAACAATTAAAAATAATTTTCAAGTTTCACCGTTACTTCTACACTAAACAATTAACAGTGATTTTCAAGTTTCACCGTTACGTCTACACTAAACAATTAACAGCGATTTTCTAGTTTCACCGTTACGTCTACACTAAACAATTAACAGTGATTTTCAAGTTTCACCGTTACTTCTACACTAAACAATTAACAGTTAATTTCAAGTTTCACCGTTACTTCTACACTAAACAATTAACAGTTAATTTTTTCAAGTTTCACCGTTACTTCTACACTAAACAATTAACAGTGATTTTCAAGTTTCACCGTTACTTCTACACTAAACAATTAACAGTGATTTTCAAGTTTCACCGTTACTTTTACACTAAACAATTAACAGTTAATTTCAAGTTTCACCGTTACGTCTACACTAAACAATTAACAGTTAATTTCAAGTTTCACCGTTACTTCTACACTAAACAATTAACAGTGATTTTCAAGTTTCACCGTTACTTCTACAATAAACAATTAACAGCGAGTTACTTCTACACTAAACAATTAACAGTGATTTTCAAGTTTCACCGTTACTTCTACACTAAACAATTAACAGCGATTTTCACGTTTCACTGTTACTTCTACACTAAACAATTAACAGTGATTTTCAAGTTTCACCGTTACTTCTACACTAAACAATTAACAGCGATTTTCACGTTTCACTGTTACTTCTACACTAAACAATTAACAGTGATTTTCAAGTTTCACCGTTACTTCTA